CATGCAGAAGAATGAAGTTAGAGGCCTATCTCACATCATATACAAAACTCTCACAATGGATGAAAAGATCCAAATGTAAAAGTTATAAGTCTAAAGCTCTTTTTTAAAAAAAGGCATAAATATCTATGACCTTGGATTTAGGCAATGATTTCTTAGAATATGACACAAATACCACAAGTGACAAAAGAAAAAGAATAAATTGGACTCCATCAAAATTTTAAAATTTTGTACTCCAAAGGATACTACCATAAATTGAAAAGACAATTCACAAAATGGGAAGAAATATTTGTAAATGATATATCTGATAAGTAACTGGTATCCAGAATATATAAAGAACTCTTACACCTCAGCATGACAACCCAGTTTTAAAATGGGCAAAGGATTTTAATAGACATTTCTAAAAAGAAGATACACAAGTGGCCCATGTAAGCACGTGGAAAGATGTTTAACATCATTAGTAAGGGAAATGCAAATCAAAATCACAATATGATAGCATTTCACATCTTCTAGGATAGCTATAATAAAAAAGATGCACAAAAACAAGTGTTAGCAAGAATGTAAATTGTGACATCCGTTGCTAGTGAGAATATAAAATAGCACAACAGGCCAGGTGCAGAGTCTCATGCCTGTAATCCCAGCACTTTCGGAGATCCGAGGCAGGAGGATCGCGTGAACCCAGGAGCTCGAGACCAGCCTGGGCAACATGGCAAAACCCCGTCTCTACAAAAATTAGCTGGACATGGTGGCACATGACTGTGGTGCCTCAGGAGGCTGAGGTGGGAGGATCACTTGAGCGCAGCACGCAGAGGTTGCAATGAGCCAAGATCACGTCACTGTACTCCAGCCTGGGCAACAGAGTGAGACCACGTCTCAAAAAATAAATAAATAAATAAATAAATAAATAAATATAAATAAAATGGTATAGCAGCTTTGGAGTATAGTCAGGAGGTTCCCTAAAAAGTCAGTGTACCGTATGACCCAGACTTACCATAAGACCCAACTACCTCATTTCCTCGGTATATATTTAAGAAAACTAAAAACGTGTCCACTGTAAAACTTGTATATGAATGTTAATAGCAGCATTGTTCATAATAGCCAAAAAGTGGGAATAACCCAAATGTCTCTCAGTTTATGATGAATGGATACACAAAATGTGGCATATGCATACAGTGGATATTATTTGGCCATAAAAAGGAATAAAGTCCTGATATGCTAAGCATAGATTAACTTTGAAAACATTGTGGTAATTGAAGTAAACCAGTCACAAAAAAACCACATATTGTATGATTCCATTTATATGAACTGTCCAGAATAAGCAAATCCACGGAAACAAAGTAGGTTAGTGGTTGCCAAGAGCTGGGTGGTGGGGGGTGTGGTGGGGGAATGAGGACTGTTTATGGGGACTTTTTTGGTGGGTGAAATGATGGAAATGTTCTGGAATTAGTGGTGATTACATAACTTGTGAATATACTAAAGCCACTAAATTATATGTTCTAAAAGGGTGAGTTTATGGTGTGTGAAAATTACACACTTTAAAAAGTTGACTTTATGGTGTGGACTTAGTAGTGCCCTGCTTTTTGGGGGAGGTGTTAGTTGTTTTTAGTTCCCCCCATACCCCTTCTGTGAAGCCATCTAACTTTTACAGACAAAGCTAGTCTCTTACACCTTGTAAGTATAAGCGTGGTTGTTAGTGTTCTGAGAGCCTACATAGCAAAGCTTATTGTAGGGTAGCATGTCTGCTCAGTATACAAAATTTAAATGTATTCTTTCATTTTCAGCCTGGCCTTACCCATGCCCTTTTCTTTGCCTAAAATCATGAAATATACGGTCCTTCGCTCTGTAAAGTTCATTACATTCTCTATAGAGTTTATTCTTTATAGAATCATTTTCTCTGTAGAATTCCCTATAGTTGGTGATGGTGGAGGAACAGAAATCTCCTGGCTGTCAGAGGTGTAGAATCAATGACCCAGTTGTCTGTTTTACTATAATTTAACTGTCTTCCCTGCTTTCCCCAGTATTTTGGTGCCTTTACTGCCTAGCTTCTTTCTGGGGTTCTCTTAAGACACGCCAGTTTCTCGTTTCTGTATCCGTCTACAAATACTTAGTTCTTGGCTTCTTCCTGTTGTATGAGTTGCCTTGCCTCTGATTTCTCTTTTCCAGAAATGCTTTGGCAACTCTAAACTGCTGTTTTCTCTTCTCCTGTTTTCTTTGCTGGTATTTACTTTTTAAATTCCTTACGTAAATACCCTGCAAAAACAACTCAAATGTCCCACCAGAAACTCAGGAATTAAAGTATATGATGAAGCCGGGCATGGTGGCTCACTCCTGTAATCCCAACACTTTGGGAGGCTGAGGCAGGCAGATCACTTGAGGCCAGGAGTTCAAGGCCAGTCTGGTAAAAGACACGGTGAAACCCCGTGTCTACTAAAAATACAAAGGTTAGCTAGGCATGTTGGTGCGTGCATGTAGTCCAAGCTACTTGGGTGACTGAGGAACAAGAATCACTTGCACCCTGGAGAACTGAGATCGCACAACTGCACTCTAGCCTGGGCGACAGAGCAAGACTATAAAAATATATATATATACACACACACACACACACACATATATATATTCATACCATGGAATGCAAGGGTTTAAAACAATGAAATGGAACTTTATGTCCTGACATCAAAAGCTTTTTTTATATGAACATGATTGTAAAAGAGTAAGTATAATTTCAATCTGGTATTTTAAAACAGTACATTTCTAGATACATATTAAAAGTATGGAATCAGCTTCACAAAGTGCATCTCTAGATTCAGGCCTTTTTACTTCCAACATTTCACATTTTGCATTTTTATTATTTTTATTGTAAACATGTTTTAAATGTATGTTAGTTTGCAGAGATAATATAAGTAAAACTCAAATTGTATAACTGAGTTTTTCAGACAATTTATTAATCTTGGGCAAAAACAAGTATTAACCATTTGGAATACATATGTTTATATATTATGATATGTAATACTAAGCATAATTAAAACTTTGCAACTTTGCTGTCATCGTTTTGATTATCAGATTGGTGCCTTTTTATACAAGAATTATTTCTTGTTTTTCCTCTCTTCCAATTTGTTTGGCTTAGAAACAAAATAATAGAAAAATGATAGTAGTAATAGCAGCTAATAGCACTTATTGAACACTAACTACATACCAAGCACTGTGCTGAAGTGCTTTAGATGTTTTGTTGTCAACTTATTTATTTATTGTTGCTGTTGTTGTTTTGAGACGGAGTCTTGCTCTTATTGCCCAGGCTGGAGTACAGTGGCACCATCTTGGCTCACTGAAACCTCCACCTCCCGGGTTCAAGCGAGTCTCCTGCCTCAGCCTCTGAAGCAGCTGGGATTACAGGCATGCGCCACCACGCCTGGCTCAGTTTTGTATTTTTAGTAGAGACGGGGTTTCACCATGTTGGTCAGGCTGGACTAGAACTCGTGACGTTAGGTGATCCACTCACCCTGGCCTCCCAAAATGCTAGGATTACAGGCGTGAGCCACTGCGCCTGGCCATCAATTTAATTTTCAAAATAGTTCACTGAGGCCTAAATACTACTATACCAATTTTACAGACAAACTGAGGCAGAGATATTAAACCACTTGCCCAAGGGTTTGCGGTTTTATTTTTTTATTTTTTTGAGATGGAGTCTTGCTCTGTTGCCCAGGCTGGAATACAGTGGCGTGATCTCCACCTCCTGGGTTCAAGAGATTCTCATCCCTCAGACTCCCGAGTCGCTGGGACTACAGGTGCCTGGCACCACGCTAGGCTAATGTTTTATTTTTAGTAGAGATAGGGTTTCACCATGTTGGCCAGGCTGATTCTGAACTCATCATCTCTCAGGTGACCTGTCTGCCTCAGCCTCCCAAAGTGCTGGAATTACAGGCATAAGCCACTATGCCCGCCCCCAAAGTTTTGTTTTTTTTTTTTTACATAAAACGTGCTGTCATTAGAATTTGACATCAGACCTACAGTTAGCCTGTTTTTAACAATTTAGCCATGTTGCTTCTTGCATATCCAGACTTAAGATGTGTGTGTGATTAAGTTGAGAAACAGATTCTCAGACAGGTATAGAAGTCTTTCTGATAACTGTTTCTAGCTGCCCAGGGGCCTTTTTTTGGTTGGTTAATATTATAGTGATTTGGTTACATTCTGGTAAAACCAGGTATCTCAGTACTTTAGATATGAAAAATGAGTTACTTCTGTTGTATTTGTTTATCTCCTAGAGGTCTGAAGGGTTTGAACTAAATACAGTGTTTACAGAAGCCCTCTTAACCTATAGGACATAAGTTTTCATGGGATTGGCTCAAAATGAATGAAACGCTGTGGATGTATAATTTTCTGGAGAATACCCAGAGTTTTTCTAGGATTTTCACAGAAGTCTGTTACTCATTAAAGGCCAAGACCATGAATTACCTCATGCTTATTTTTCTTTTGGTCAGAGAGCTAGCCCTGAATGTTTTACTTATTATTTTATAGGAATCATTTCATGTGTCTATCTTCAGCCATTTAAGCTGTACTTCAAAAGCACAATGAAAACAATGATGTGTACTTAGTGATGAAATATACACAAGATGAACAAAGACTACAGAGGGATTTCTTGTGGTAATAAAATTAGAGAAATGCACTAGTGCATCTCCAATGTCCTTTCCAGCTTCCAAATGTTATCATTGTTATCCCTATTTGGAAAAGTAGGCATTTTCCCACAGTAAAATTTTGCAGAATTGAGTTTTGAAGTATCATTAATAATCCAAGAACCAGATAGAAAAGTTAAGGGTTACTGCAAGTGCTACCAATTAGTACTCAGATGTTCGTAATTTCAAGCAGTTCCTTTATCAAATTCAAATGTGTTAATTTCTGATATGATTTAGAAAAATGATTTCTGATATCTTTACAAGTGATTGGATTTGTACTAAAAACTCTTTTTTGTTATATATGTTTAAAGAAAAATTTTTTAAATTCTTCAATAGGGAAGTTTGGTTGGCTTAGTGGATTATCCAGATGATGAAGAGGAAGATGAAGAAGAAGAAACATCCCCCAGGAAAAGACCTCGTCTTGGCTCATAAAATATTTATTAGGAGACCCTCAACATGTGGTCTTAAAATGCTGCAACTGTTCAATGAGCTGTAAATCCGAATCAGAAAGCTTTCTCAATTGAACTTAGAAAATATACAAGGAATAGCAAAAGACACTCAGTGTATCAGCTAAGGGAGTTTAGTTCTAATAAAAAAACAGGCTTCCCAGGAACTTCATTGCTTGCTAGTAATTAAGGGGTTTGCCTTTTAGGCTGTCAAAACAAACGTTAGTAACCAGAACCTGGGAGACAGATTCTCAGCAAGGAAAAGTCACAGGTTTTGGGATGGTTTAGGGGAGGGGAAAAGGTTGATATAATAATGCAGGGTTGCTCCTCGGGGTATTGATCTAAAAACAATTTTATAGAACTTCAGTTGTAAACTCAATAACATTACTTGTATAATGGTGCTGGCCATGTTGTTGTTTTAATCAGTTGCCTCTTTTTAAAAGAAATTTTTATGGAAAACACATTCAACTATCATTAAAAAAATGAAGTTAAGCTGTTGGGACCATTTATTTAAGATTTAACAAAAGTTCAGCCTTTTAGGTAGTTGAAGGGAAGTACACCCCATATTCAGCACATGTTGAATTTTCTACACCAGGAATTTTCAATATGTATATTGATGAAAACAAGTTCAATTCAAACTGGACAGTTTTAAGATAATGTTAAAATTAGCACTTTTAGAGACAATGAAGGCCAAGAATCAGTACAGTAGTATTCCAAAATGATTTTCTCTAGAAATTTGAAAGTGGATAGAACAGAATGTTTTCAACCACCTACCAGTACAATCTTTTGTGGAAGATACTTTGAAATCACTTTTTGCTTTGTTAGTAAAGTTCTCTCTCTTTCCAGAGCTGCAAGTTTTAAAGTGTTACTTATACAGACCAACAAAGAATAGTGCTGAATTAAGTGGCATTTAGTATCTAGAAGCCATTTTGATCCAAGAAGCGACTTGTGAAAGTCAGCATGCAGCACATGTAGCTTTTCTGTAAACAAGGGTGTGATATGAAAGCTGCTTTTTTAAGAAGAGTAAAAGCACATTCCATGTACGTAAGTGAATTTTAAAATTAAATTGAGGCAAACAGTTACGTTTTATTTTTAGAGCAACAAGTTAACTGTACATATTTTAATGTTAGTTTGCTCATCTATGATCTGAGATCATGCCGAAGTGAGAAAAATGTCCCCAAAATACAATTTAATGCATTGGGAAAAAAAAATTTTTAATAGTAATTCCAGCCACAATCTTTAGATCACCCTTGTAATGTGTTATGGGTCCATTTTTCCTGGAATAGTTTAATCTGAAGCAGTTTCCCCTGTTTTGGAGATTTTGTAGTTAATTTTAATTTTGGCTATTGTTTGGAAAAGATGAGCTGTCTGTGTAGATATGAAGTATAGTTTTTCCATAAAACAGATGTTTATTTTGTATTAAAAATACCACTGTACTTGTTTTACACCATTTGTATACATGTGGTGATATTAATGCTAAACTGTAAAATTCAGGAATTAAAATGTGACCCTGTAATTCCATAATTGATGTTTGTGTTTGGTTTGTTGTAAATATAAATTAACTCCATTTTGAAATATGTCAATTTTACAGTATCTTTTAAAAGGCAATAAAATTATACATAAATATTTATTATAAACTGCTAGGTCATACCCCAGTTTTAATGAAATAATTCTAAACAAATGTGGGTCAACGGCACTTTATCACTGACTACTTATAGAAGGTAAGCCTTGGGGAAATCAAAGCATCATGGTATGGAGCTTTTCTCACCTCTTCAGTTAAAGGTGTACATATAATAAGAAAGAAAGACCTTCCACCTCATAAGGCAGGTGACTCAGGATATTTTAAACCAAGATCAGTAAAGTTCCCATCCACTTTCTTTGAATCAGCAAGTTTTATCCAGACCCATCTCTCAGCTTTTATTAAATTTCTTCTTATAATAAGCCCACATGTAAAACAGTTTCCTAGTTACTTTTTGTTTGTTTGTTTGTTTGAATCTCGCTCTGTTGCCCAGGCCTGGAGTGCAGTGGCGCAATCTCAGCCCACTGCAACTTCCACCTTTGGGTTCTATTGATTCTCCTGCCTCAGCCTCCTGAGTAGCTGGGAGTACAGGCACCCATTACCACACACAGCTAATTTTTAGTAGAGACAGGGTTTCGCTATGTTGGCCAGGCTGGTCTTGAACTCCTGACCTCAAGTGATCCGCCTGCTTCGGCCTCCAAAAGTGCTGGGATTACAGGTGTGAGCCACCGTGTCCAGCCCTCCTCATTACTCTTGACTCCTCTTAAGTAACTTTAAGTCCTAGTAGGAAGTACTATTTTTCTTTTTTTTTTTTTTTTTGAGATGTAGTCTTGCTCCATCGCCCAGGCTAGAGTGCAGTGGCACGATTTCAGCTCATTGCAACCTCTGCCACCTGGGTTCAAGCAATTCTCTGCCTCAGCCTCCCGAGTAGCTGGGATTACAGGTGCCCATCACCATGCCAGGCTAATTTTTGTATTTTCAGTAGAGACGGGGTTTCACCATCTTGGCCAGGCTGGTCTTGAACTCCTGACCTTGTGATGCACCCGCCTCAGCCTCCCTGTCTCTGTATCTTACGAAGACTTCCTTTTTCTTTCTGAAGAGCTGCCATAAGTCTTAAACATTTACATCATCATCTGAACCTTTTCTTGTAGCAGAAATGTGAATGTTTTCCTGAAGTACAGGTTACAGTTTTCATGGTACAAGTGCTTACCTACGACGATAAGAGAATAAGGCTTAAAATATCCCTTAAAAGAACAATTGTGAGAATTCCACGTTAGCAGCTGTCTTTAAATGACTACCCTCAGACAGATCTGGATTTTTGTATCTTTATCTTTACTCAGTGAAGCAAGCCAAGAGCCCACATTTGTATGCCTTAGGTCCTCTTAAAATGGTATCTGTAAACATGTATCCAATATAAAAACTATTTTTAATAAAAAGTTACATGAAACAGATTTCTGTGTTTTAATCACTAGCATTTCCTCTTATCCATCTAGTGATGAAACTACAACAAACGTAAATACTGGTTTTTCTGCAGGTTGAAGGTTGGAATTGTGTAACTGATACTGAGTAATTCTTGTTACACTAATTTTAGTATCCTTTTTTAAAAGCTTATAATCGTAGACTTAAGGAGATAAAATGTGATTATAAGTTAAATCTCAGGAGTATCCTGTACTTAGAAAAGGGTGGACATGGGATATTACAAGATTGGAAATTTTTTTTTTTTTTTTTGGAGATGGGAGTCTTGCTCTGTTGTTGCCCAGGCTGGAGTGCAATGGCGTGATGTCACTGCAACTTCCACCTCCCAGGTTCAAGCGAGTCTCCTGCCTCAGCCTCCAGAGTAGCTGGCACATTACAGGCATGCACCACCACGCCCAGCTAATTTTTGTATGTTAGTAGAGATGGGGTTTCACCATGTTGGTCAGGCTGGTCTTGAACTCCTGATCTCAAGTGATCCGCCCCCGCTCAGCCTCCCAAAATGTTGGGATTACAGGCATGAGCCACTATGCCTGGCCTTTTTTTTTTTTTTTTGATATGGAGTCTTGCTCTGTCAGCCAGGCTGGAGTGCAGTGGTGTGAGCTCCAGTTCAACGCAACCTCCGCCTCCCGGGTTCAAGCGATTCTCCTGCCGCAGCCTTCTAAGTAGCTGGGATTACAGGTGCCCGCCACCATGCCTGCTAATTTTTGTGTTTTTAGTAGAGACGGAGTTTCACCATGTTGGCCAGGCTGGTCTCCTAACCTCAAGTGATCCTCCTGCGTTGGCCTCCCAAAGTGCTGGGATTACAGGCATGAGCCACCACACCCGGCCTGGAAGTTTCTGAAAGAAAGGTCTCCTATTATTGTGTTTATCTTTAAATAGACTACAGAAAACTATCCTAGGGTCACTTCTCTTAAACACCAACACCCAATGGTGGTATCTTCTTCAACAGGCTCAATCAATTATTCCCTTTGCCTGTGTTTTAGTAATAGTTTGTCTAGAAAGAATAATTATTTTTTACATCCTGCACATCTATTTTCCAAGTCCTATTTGCTCCTGCCTTATATAGGTGTAAATGATAAATGTAAAATCTACCTTACCATTGCCCAGGGTATCTATACCCTTGATTGGACTGTCTCATACATGGTACACCCACAACTACTTTACCTCATGCACTAGTTGCCATATAGTAATAAAAATGAAAATTGTGATCATGTAACTTCCATGCTTTATTTATTTTTATTTATTTATTTTTTGAGACAGGGTCTCACTGTGTCATCCAGGCTGGAGTGGAGTGCTGTGATCATAGCTCACTGCAGCCTTGACCTCCAGGGCTCTGGTGATCCTACCACCTCAGCCTCCCAGGTAACTGGGACTACAGGTGTGTGCCACCATGCCTAGCTAATTTTTTTGTATTTTTAGTAGAGATGGAGTTTTGCCATGTTGCCCAGGCTGGTCTCAAACTCCTGGGTTCAAGCAGTCTGTCCACCTCGGCCTCCCAAAGTGCTGGGATTACAGTGTCAGCCACCATGCCCAGCCCTTGCATTAAAATTTTTCAATGACTTGACACTGCTGGTATTACAAAATTTAAAATCCAGAGCTGGGATTGTGCTACCTCCAGCCTGGGCAGCAAAGCAAGATCCTGTCTCTAAAAAAAAAAAAAAAAAAATTAAATCCTCACATTCCCTACAAGACTGCACTATCAGTACCCCACCTGTCTCCAATTTCATATGCTAACCCTCTCCACTCATATGTATATTCCAAGTTTTCAGTATATGCTTTATTTCCTGTTGCAGAACCTGAGTTGTTCCTTACCTATTCTTTGTGTAATTAACCTTCCATTCAGCTTAAAGAGGCTTAGCCAGCCCTGCTCATAGGACTTTACACTTTGCCTTTCTAACAGTTTGGTCTTTGGGCCTTCTCCACTAGCCCCATGAAGGCAATGACCCTGTCAGTCTTGTGGACTACTGTATCCTTAGCGCTTAGCACAATGCCTGGCACAAACAGTAGGTAACCGAGTTTGAATGAATGAACATACTATCAACTGGTTTCTTTCTATCCCTCTTTCCAAGGGAAAACATTCAGGAATTTGTATTAAACTAATCAGTATGAGTAGCTGCCTTCCCTACTGTCCTTTACCTAAAGTGTTTAATAAGATATTTGGATTTACAAAAGTGTTTGAAACTAAAAACCTCGGTGGAAGGACTAAATAATTTATTTTTAAGACAATTTGAACTTCCATTTTGTTAAATTGTTCTTAATTATTACTTATTAATAACTTCTTCTTTGAGTTTCTCTGCAAGCAGTCTCCTCTTTAGTAATGTTTGCTTCTCCTCTGCTGTCATTTCTGCTTTCTCTGTCATTTCCTGAAAAACAGAAAAAAATTGGCTACAGTATGAAATAGGATCATTTGTCTAAAATTCCCAACATACTGCCTCAAATGAACGAAAATCAGGGGCACTTTCTTGTGGGGTGGAGGGAGAGACAGACATAGACTAGGTTTCCTAAATCTATTCTTCATAAAGTCTCTTCTTGGAGAAGCCCTCTTGGAAGTGGGGGCTGGGGTACTAATGCTGCTCTATGATAAAACATTTCAGAATGCTCAGGTGAAACAGACCACAAAGAAGAGCAAGTAAAGAAACAGCATAAGAAAAAAATGTATAATGACACCGCTCTTATTTTCTGCCTCAAAAAATCCTTATCACAACAATTTCACTTCCTAGAAAAGACTTAGCAGCTACTGCACTAGGAGGTGGTTAATAGGAATGGGTCTGCAAGCAAAATTTACTAGAGGCTTTCTTGCACATATTCTGATTTTGAGAGTTCCACTACCAATTTGTAAATCTTGACATATTAAGGCTAGCCATACCTCTACCTCCCCAGTGGGTTTTCCTTTCTGCTCCGTATTTTGTATCTGCTTAGTCCTCATATCCTTTCTCATGGACATCAACTTATCTCTCTTCTGCTTGAGATAGTGTTCTCGTTGCCGAAGTTCTTCTGTTCCAAGTACTGATAAACTCTGGGTCAAGTAAGAAAAGGAGCTATCTAAATTCAAGTCCATTTATTAAGTAGCACAGATGCCCACTGACTGATTCAATTCGAAGTTTGATTTCCTTGTCATTTTGCTTATAGTTCTTAAAAGTGATGTCTTTTACTTACTGCTATTGGTCCTTCAATGCTCGCATGCTCTAAGCCAGGAATCTTCAGGCCTTTTTGTGGCAGGGAGGAAGTTTCAGACCTTTCCACTTTTCTTCCCAAAGGTTCTATTGACTGATTAGCAAAATGCACTTTAACTTCTGGCAATAAGTAGACAATAAGACCAATTAGATTATTATGAGAAATATTAAGTATTAGGCTAGGCTTACCAAAATGAGCTAATGTTAATAATACTTGTTTTTCCTCATATTCAGTCAACATATATTCAATGCCTATATTGTGCCAGCCACTGGGTAAGAACAGTAAACATCACATCTCTACCCTTAAGGAGCCTGGAACTATAGTTTCTCACCTACATCTCAACAAGTACCACGTTCCTGCTGTTTGTACAGTACTATAGCTACAAAAAGGTAAAATCCTTGTCTAAAGATTAGAACTACACTATAATATAATACAAGATTGCCACATAAGCCAAATAAACAGTATACTAATTCCTTACTACAATGTAATTGGTTTCCAAACTTTTGCTTGCATGTAAAAAGTCACCCTACATTTTCAGAACAATTAATGTAAAACTATAATTTTTTGTATTGCAAGAGTGTGTGCCAGTAATGTCAATAATTTTTGTTTATAATTATGTATTGAAGATAACTATAAACCTGCCAGTGCATTATGAAAATGTAAAGATTTCTAAAGCAAGCAGAACTTGGAAGCACATATAAACATGAGCAGTAAATACTTTCCAGCCATTTGGTGACCGTGCCAACCAAGAGAGAGGTTAACATTCTAATTACTCCTCTGAGCCATTTATTATTATAAGGTGATTGTTTTTAAAAAGATAAAACATTTTCAGTGTAAACACATGGGCTATGAAAGAAAGCACAGTGAGACAAGCAAAGACATTAAAATGATGCTAAGATCTAAAAGCATGATGGGAAAACGTGGCACACATGTCTCTAAATGATTGAAATTTTTGCCACACCTGGTTGATTCTGCCAGTTAAAAAACAAAACAAAACAAAACAAAAAAACACCTTGCCAGCATACATACTAAAACAGAAAACAGAATTTTGTCTGTTCAAGAAACTTGACAGCAGACCACTGCTCTAGCAGTGACCAGACTGACTACAGTGCCAGAGACGTTGGAGGAAGAAAAGCTCTCCAGGCCCTTGGACAATAGGGGAAATCTCCATGGAAGAGACAAGCTGGAACCAGCACGCCAAGCCAACCTAGACAGGGAGCTATATAACTAACAAATAAAGATAGAGGTAAAACACTGCTGTTGTTACTGATAGCGATGTTAGCAGAGGTAGGCTTAGCCCTCAATGGACTCACAGAACTGGAGAAGGGACAGTTCAAATAATTCCTGGGGAACCCATACATATAAGCATATATATTCCACTCATGTTCTTTCTCTGGACAGTTCTTGCCTTGGGTTAATTATGAACAGACATATATTCTCAGACCTAGAAAGGAAAGTACTTGAAGCCAAAATACTTAGCTTCTCTAATTTCTAGGAAGGGAAGATCGGACAGCCAGAAAACCTAAAGAAAGATCATCTCATCTCTGGCAACTCTGCATCAATCTGAGAAAAGATACTATCAATTGCTAGCAGGAATGAGGGAAAGACAGGCAAAAGGACAAAACAGGAGCTCAAACAACTTCATGATTCTTCCAAACTCAGGTCTTCATACCGGGCTTCCATCACTTTGTATGAAGTGATTCTCTGAAATATCAGATATGCCCATTTAAAAAAATAATTTTAAAAACTGAAATCATTACTTTTGAAATTATCTACCATTTATGCTGTGCCATTAATA